TTTGAATACATCAGAATACTTGAAGAGGTCATGCTGCCTTATGCTGAAGAGGAAATGCCCTTGAAATGGGTGTTCCAACAAGACAACGACCCCAAACACACCAGTAAACGTGCAACATCTTGGTTCCAGACCAACAAGATTGGACGTTATGGAGTGGCCAGCCCAATCCCCGGATCTTAATCCAATAGAAAACCTGTGGGGTGACATCAAAAATGCAGTTTCTGAGGCAAAACCAAGAAATAGAGAAGAACTGTGGAATGTGGTCCAATCATCCTGGGCTGGAATACCCGATCACAGGGGCCAGAAGTTGGGTGACTCCATGCAACACAGATGTACAGCAGTTCTCAGAAACAGTGCGACTACAACCAAATATTCATGAAGTGATTCAAAGGAAAGCAAAATCTTCAAACATTTCTCAGTTTATATAGTGAATGTTTGAGTTTGTAAAGAAGAATACAAACACTGCTATTTTTTGAACCGTCTAATATTCACTTTTCTTCAATTTTGTTAGAGGAACAACACAAATTTGATCTATTTTTCTTCATGTTTTGATTTGGAATAGAATGTGTCGTGTTCCCAATGCATTTGTGTGGATGGAAATAAAAGCTATTAGAAGGATTTTCAGCTTTATTCACTTTTTTCAACACACTGCTATTATTTTGAACACAACTGTATATATATAATTTTTTTTTTTTTTAAAATAGAATGCAGGAAAGTCAGGACATTTGTTTATTGACATTGAGTACCCATTCAATGACACTGCAGGAAGTGTCAACCCTCTCTAACCTTTTGCCATTTTAGAAAATACATACAAGGGACGGATGTTTTTACTGCCTGTATCAATGGAAAGACTTCCCATCCTTACCTGTCCAGGTGACATAAAAAGGGAAATCTCCCAGTTGGGGACACAATAGGAATCCCAGTTTAAGCAAGTTTTGAAAATGAGGGTCCTAGCCCAGATGAAAGCCCCCATAAGATGTACAGTATGTAATCCCGAACAGTGAACTTTAGTCACAAGTGTTCCATGCATCTGAGTGCAGGCAGCCTCATTCATATCCTGCAGCAGCTTGGACACTGGTCCCAATCTGACAACCAGACAAGTGCATGTCCCCAAATCCACACCCTCTGTAGTCAGGAACATACTCCCCACACAGGACCAGCAACTGTGCCCCAATAGACATGAATGGGACCTGCAGGATGCGAATGCTCTGAACACCTGTGCATTCCATGCAGGCAACGCTAGCCCTTCACATTAGGCGTAGGGATAGGTACACCCCTGTGAATTAACATGGAGTTTTGTTCTTTTACACAAGTGTAAAGGGGGAAAAAATAAAATATATATAATCAGGGGCGGATTGACAACTCATAGGGCCCCTGGGCAATAGGGGATCATGGGGCCTGTGTCCTTGCCCAAACTCAAAAAAGCCTATGAAAAAGGTACCAGGGGCATCTCATGGGGCCCCCTACTGACGCTGGGCCCTCAGGCAGTGCCCAAGTTTCCAAATGGTCAGTCCGCCCCTGATTATATATATATATATATATACATACATACACACACACACATACATACATACATATATATACACACACACACACACACACAGGTTGACGTTAGGTCCAGTAGTTCATTTATATTGGCAACCAGTCACTCCAGACCCTTAGGGATACCCCAGCTGTGGAACTTGAGTCAGAATATGGGATCCAAATACTTACCATAAACTTTTCCCTTCCTGACGCCAATCCATGGCAGCATACCGCATTTGCTGCCAGGAAAATGAAGTCCTGGGCAGCACAGTGGCTAAATGGTTAGCACTTCCACCTGGCAGTACTCGGGTCATTGGTTCAAATCCCAGCCACGGCACCACCTGCCTAGAGTTTGTATGCTCTCCATGTGCATGCGTGGGTTTCCTCCAGGTACTCCGGTTTCCTCCCACACACTCCAAAGACATGCTGGTAGGTGAATTGGATCCTGTCTAAATTGTCCCTAGTATGTTTATGTATGAATGTGAGTTAGGGACCTTAGCATTGTACACCCTTGAGGGTTAGGGACTGATGTGAATGTACAATATATATGTAAAGCGCTGCGTAAATTGATAGTGCTATATAAGTACCTGAAATAAATAAGTCCTGCTAGATCACTTCAGGCTGGTTGCTTTTGCAGGTATAGCTATGTGAAATTTTAAAAATAAATGCCCATAGAGTAATACACTGTCTGACCCTGCTCTGCACATGCTCAGTTGCTCTCTATTTTTCAGCACATGTCCAAAGTTTAGAGGATGATCTGCTGACAGACTAAAGATTTACTGCTGCTCAGGGGCTCTGGGCTTCAGCAAAATGGCCGCCTCTATGCAAGAACAGGGACAATGCTGAAGACAATTTACAGCACACATTCATTTAATCTACATAAATTATTAATGTGGAAGGTATGTTCCCTGCTAGTTTTTTTTTTTTTAAACCACCTTCCGCCCGCCATATAGTACAATGACGGGCGCAAGGTGGTTCTCTCGTTCTGATAGGACGCCATATGACGTCCTTCCATTCGCACTGCGTATGCGCAGCTCAGGGAGCGCGCAGCGCGGTGATCGCCGATGCGCTGTGTCCCTCGGACACAGCGGATCATGGAAAGAGCCAAAAATGTCGGCTCGGTCATGTGATCAGCTGTGTCCAATCACAGCTGATCACATGTAAACACGGAAATGCCGGTTATCGGCATTTCTCTCCTCTCAAGCTGTCACACTGACAGAGGAGAGAAGAGCCAGTAATCGGCTTTCCGCGGAGGGGACATGTACACTGATCACCAGGGCACTGATGATCAGTGTGCCCTGATGATCAGTGTGGCCCCAGAAGTGCCACCTGTCAGTGCTCATCAGTGCCATGTGCCAGTGCCCATCAGTGCCACATATCAGTGCATACCAGTGGACATCAACGCCACATATCAGTGCCCATCTGAGGTGCCAGTCAGTGCCATGTATCAGTGCCAGTCAGTGCCATGTATCAGTGCCAGTCAGTGCCATGTATCAGTGCCAGTCAGTGCCATGTATCAGTGCCAGTCAGTGCCATGTATCAGTGCCAGTCAGTGCCATGTATCAGTGCCCCATCAGTGCAGCCTACCAGTGCCCCATCAGTGCAGCCTACCAGTGCCCCATCAGTGCAGCCTACCAGTGCCCCATCAGTGCAGCCTACCAGTGCCCCATCAGTGCAGCCTACCAGTGCCCCATCAGTGCAGCCTACCAGTGCCCCATCAGTGCAGCCTACCAGTGCCCCATCAGTGCAGCCTACAGTGCCCCATCAGTGCAGCCTACCAGTGCCCCATCAGTGCAGCCTACCAGTGCCCCATCAGTGCAGCCTACCAGTGCCCCATCAGTGCAGCCTACCAGTGCCCCATCAGTGCAGCCTACCAGTGCCCCATCAGTGCAGCCTACCAGTGCCCCATCAGTGCAGCCTACCAGTGCCCCATCAGTGCAGCCTACCAGTGCCCCATCAGTGCAGCCTACCAGTGCCCCATCAGTGCAGCCTACCAGTGCCCCATCAGTGCAGCCTACCCATCAGTGCCTACCAGTGCCCCATCAGTGCAGCCTACCAGTGCCCCATCAGTGCAGCCTACCAGTGCCCCATCAGTGCAGCCTACCAGTGCCCCATCAGTGCAGCCTACCAGTGCCCCATCAGTGCAGCCTACCAGTGCCCCATCAGTGCAGCCTACCAGTGCCCCATCAGTGCAGCCTACCAGTGCCCCATCAGTGCAGCCTCATTAGTGCCCATCAGTGCAGCCTCATTAGTGCAGCCTCATTAGTGCCCATCAGTGAAGGAGAAAAATCACTTACTTACAAAATTGTATAACAAAAAAACTAAGAAAAAATGTTTTTCAAAATTTTCAGTGGTTTTTGGTTTAAGAAAAAATAAAAATCCCCGAGGTGATTAAATACCACCAAAATAAAGCTGTCTAAAAAAAAAAAAAAAAAAAAAAGATAAAAATTTCATATGGGTACAGTGTTGCATGACCGTGCAATTGTCATTCAAAGTGTGACAGCGCTGAAAGCTGGCCTGGACTGGGAGGGGTACAAGTACCCTGTAGGCAAGGGGTTAAATCAAGTTCTGGGCAAAGTTGCACTTTAAGAATTATTAGAAATGATTATACCTAGCATTGGGTCCAACATATCTTACGGACTACAGAACACCTCCCCTTACGTTATGAATATATGGAAGAGTGTTCTGTAATCCTAATACACTTCCTGTCCTAGGGTGACATTTATGGATACAGTACAGCGAATGGGTGTCGTCACACTAGAACAGAAGTGTGTTACTGGCAGGATCACCGGCTGGAAAAGGAATGCAGCCAACACATCCCAGGGCCAAGAGGTGCAACATGTGACAGTTCTGATCTTGGGTGTAGATTAATGAGAAGAAACGCTCAAGTCATTTGAAAGACTTTTATTTAGAACAATCCAATGAAAAACAGGTTAAAATGTCAGTCGTTCCAACCACTCCGAGTATAAAAAGTATAGTACCAGCTCCTGGAATTCATAAAATAAGTAACAAATTTGCATAAATAAATCTTGAAGAAATAAATTAAACTTTTCAAAAAACTGACAACGTTAACATTAACCGTTTCTTTTAATACCATAATGTTTAAGAAAAAGCTTTTTTTTTTTTTAATCCCCAGACATATAAAGTCTGATTTTGTTCAGATATCCATGCCGACTCCTGAAAAAGTCACAAAGGCACCAAAATAGTGAACAGCTGAAAAGTTCCACGGCAGTTTCCTCTCCATCATCCCGGCTCCGTGTTCCAAGACTCGCGCCTTCCTCCCACACAGCACAAGGCAGCCAAACCAGTCACATCCACTTTGTTAGTTTTTTACATTTTTGTACATTTTGTAAATCCTGTGGAAGCGTCCGCCACAAAGAACGGACCCCGCGTCCGCAAAATCCTTGCTGCTTTTTTTTGTTTTAAAAATTTCATTTTTAAACCCGAAAGTGTCCTTTGTGGCTATCGGAAAGGGATCATCGCTCGGGCAGGTTGATCACGGGGACCCACTGGTCCTGGTAGCGGCTCTCTTTGCAGAAGTTGATCACTTTGTTGATGGCGGGATCCTTCAACTGAGAAGCATGGGGGTTCTACAAAAAAATAAATAAAATTATTAATAAAATGTATTCATAATAAAAAAAATTTAAGTATTAATATAAAAATAAAGTATGAATTACTTTAATAAAAAAAGTATTAATATAAAAATTAAATAAAAAAAAAGTAACTTTTTTTATTAATATTTATATTAATACCTAATTATTTTATAATGATTTTAATAAAATTATTCATACTAAAAAAATAAAGTATTAATATAAAAATTAATAAAAAATTAACTTTATTAATTTTTTATATTAATACTAATTATTTTAGAATGATTTTAATAAAATTATTCATAATAAAAAAATAAAGTATTAATATAAAAATTATGAATTTTTTTTATTATTATATGAATACTTAATAAAATTTAATTATTCATAATAAAGTATAATATAAAAATTATTATTTTTTATTATGAATACTTATGATTAATAAAATAAAATTCTTATGGGGGGGGGGGGGGGTGGGGGGATAATAAAAGTATTAAATATAAAAAAAAGAATAAAAAAATAAAATATATATAATAAATTAGTATTAATAATAATAATAAATAATAATAATAAAAAAATAATTAATAAAATGTATTCATAATAAAAAATGAAAAAAAAATAATAAAATGTATTCATAAAAAAATAATAAAATGTATTCATAAAAAATAAAATGTATTCATAAAAAAATAAAAAGTATTCATAAATAAAATTTATAAAACGTATTCATAATAAAAAATTACTACTAATAAAAAAAAAAATTAATAAAATGTAATAAAAAATAAATATTATCAATATTAAAAACTATTAATAAAAAAAAAAAAAGGGACCTTCAAGCATCCAAAAATTGCATTAAAATCGTTTAATTCGATAGTTGCACCTGTCCTAGTAGCAGGTAGGAGCAATTTCCGTTACTAAGAGGCATGTCAGAACAAGTCGGGGATGGGAATACTTCAGTGATGATGTCACACGCACACTGTTGTTCAAAGTCCACTTGTAATCACAAGAGGAAAAAAAAAAAAAAAAAAAAAAGTGCAACTGTAGCAGAGAGCAAAGTCACTGTGATCCTGCATTACCGAAACTCCTTCCAGGGGTGGGGAAGGACATGGAGCTTAGGAATGCAGGAGTGAGTCAGTCCCACGGGAGCTTGGGAACCGAGCGAGGAACTGGCAACAGAAACCAAAGGATGGGCAGGTATAGAATAGCCGCCGCCGCCGCACATCAATTGTTCTATTGCTGGAGGGATGGAGTGGGATATGTGAGCCGGATATATTATAATCAAGGCGTTGCACTCCCAGTGAGTGGGTGGCGGTAGGATAACAGGTGCAGTTCAAAGGTAAAGGGAAGGTGTATTGTGTAGGCAGCCAACCGCAATGACAAGGCAAGACTTGGGTTAGCCATGCCCGTGCCCACACACAAACCTCACAGCCAACAATCAGTGAAATGCTTTGTTTAAAGAGAACCTGTCACCTTGCCTGTCCAGAACAAAGACAGGTTCTCTTCATCCCCTTACTGCAAGCTGCCCCATCTGCCCTGTAAAGGGGTTCTTAGATCACATGGACAACTTCCGCTTCTGATCACCTAGGCCAGGGGTAGGCAACCTGAGAGCCGCAGGACTACAAGTTCCATCATGCCTCTGCAAGTCATAGCTGTAACTGTCAGTTTTGTAATCTTTGCAATGCCTCATGGGAAATGTAGTTCAACAGCTAGCGAGCCGCAGGTTGCCTACCCCTGAAGGCTATTGCAGTGGAAGTGGGTACCCGTCAAATTCGGGTACCCGCCCCCCAAAAGGTGCCAATCCTTAATGGGGAGCGGGGGACAGACTTAAAGCGGAACTTCCCTTTTGGGTGGAGCTCCGCTTTAACATAACAGGTCCATGTTAGAAGCCTCAGGCTGAAGCTGCCTTCAAAACTGGATTTTTATTATTGTATTATTAGGCCTCATGTAGGTGCATAGGCTGCTGTATTCAGAGGCGGCAGCTGCATACAAACTGGAGCAGCTGCACCATGCAACCAAAAACGCAGCTGCATCCCTGGACTCCATGCAGCCATGTTCGAGTGTTGCATGCAGCTGCTCAGATGAGGAATTGCATGCAAATGGCAGCGGTGCCATCCATTTGGCTGCACCACTGCTGTTCACACTGAACATGCAGCTGTTCCTCCGCCATGGTGATGGCGCTCTAAAATGCAATTAAAGCTCTACCAGCATTGTATCCAACATCGCATTATACCAGATGCAAAAAAAAAAAAAAAAAACAACACACACACCACCATTAATAGGCTCACTGGGGAACCAACAACAAATCCAGCAAAGTTCAGTAGATTGTTTTGTTTCCAGTAAGCCGGTAATGGCAGCTTCCACCTGTGGCTTCTCCCAAAGTGGAAGTGATGCATCCCCATCCCATCATTTGTCTACAATGCTGCAAATGATATAAATGGATTGTCTGTGCAGCCCTGCACCTGTGCCCCGGATCCTGCACTGCCAGGACAGAGCGGTATGTGAGCGGCGGCATTCCGTTACCACCAACTTACGAAAGGAATGACGTCCATTCCTGGCTTTGTGAGCCGCAGAGACATAGTAACCCTCAACAACAATCCCCCCCCCCCCACCCGCTCCGGTCCAGCCCTGGAATGCAAGCTTGTGGAAACCACCCAGGCGGCCCCCCCCCCTCACTCTTTTCATCCTCCCCAAGACAGAGAATGTCACCTACGTTGATTAGAATACAATGCAGGTCGGCAGGTTCTCCCGGCTTGTCAGAGCCGCCCAGGATCTCCGCCAGCCGGCTCATGTTGCTCACTCGCAGGATGTTGATGTCATTCTCGCAGCAGAACGCCTGGATCAGAGTGAAGTGGATTTGCAGAGCGACATCCTGGTCTTCCGTCTCATCTGTGGCCAGCAGACAAATCACCACATTGTCCGGGTCCCTGCAACACAACAACACGGGGGAGGGTTAGAACACACCCACCACGCAGCCAGGAGAGAAGGCACCCACCTCTGCAGGGGCCCTTTAAAAAATGCTAGTTGACTGGCTGTCAATGCTTTCTAGACCTTGGCTCAGCATGCAGAATTCCTGCCAAAACTAGCCAGTGACACCATATACCGAGAGGAGAGGGTTCAATGTAAATGTTTACCCTCAGCATGCAGAATTCCTGCAAAAAACTAGTCAGTGACACCATCTGACAGGAGAGGGTTCAATGCAAACAGTTACCCTCAGCATGCAGAATTCCTGCCAAAACTAACCAGTGACACCATATACCAAGAGGAGAGGGTTCAATGCAAACGTTAACCCTCATGCAGAATTCCTGCCAAAACTAGCCAGTGACACCATATACCAAGAGGAGAGGGTTCAATGTAAATGTTTACCCTCATCATGCAGAATTCCTGCAAAAAACTAGTCAGTGACACCATCTACCAAGAGAAAAGGGTTCAATGCAAACGTTTACCCTCATGCAGAATTCCTGCAAAAACTAGCCAGTGACACCATATACCGAGAGGAAAGGGTTCAATGTAAATGTTTACCCTCAGCATGCAGAAGCGGAATATTAGATTAGCATTAGTCTGGACTACCTGCTGAGGAACGGCTGGGACTTGTAGTTCCTCAACACCTGCAAGGGCCACATGTCCCCAAAGACAGCAGGAATGAAGTATCCATGCACAGAGCGGGATATTATGGGATGTACTTACACATTCAGTAGTTTGGCCGCTTCGTACACCCCGATGGTGATGGTCCTCTGCACTTTGGCTTTGTTCAGCACCTCCTCCAACGCGGTGCCCACACTGTCCATCCTGCAATGACAGGTCCACATTAGCTGCATTCCACTGACACCGACCAATCCTGAGTCACTCCTGATTCATGACCAGGACACAAACAGCACCGGTCATCACCATGCACTGGGGGTCATACAGACAGCACTGGGGGGGGTGTCACACAAACAGCACCGGTCATCACCATGCACTGGGGGTCACACAGACAGCACTGGGGGGGGGGGTGTCACACAAACAGCACCGGTCATCACCATGCACTGGGGGTCACACAGACAGCACTGGGGGGGGGTGTCACACAAACAGCACCGGTCATCACCATGCACTGGGGGTCACACAGACACAAACCAGGAGGGGGGGGGGGTCACACACAGACAGCACTGGGGGTCACCCAGACACAGCCATCAACTGCAGCAACCTGCACCCACCACCCAGCTCACCCTGCAGCGTCACCCTCTTACTCTGCACTGACCCCTAAACATGCAATAAGAATGCAGCACCCCAGCCCCCCCCCCCCCCCCAGCACTGTGCAGCTGTCAGATGAGCCCTGTGCATCCTCCAGCAGATCAGAGCGGACTGGGAAGACTTCTGAGATCACCTGTTACTGCCACCTGACCAGAGTCGCCAGATGACCACCCTGCTCAACATACTCCATGCAGATGTCACAGAGGGGTCACCAGCCTCCCATGAAAGAGGTCAGAATCAAGGTCCCCAGCCAAGTTGGAATTTGGAAACCAACCTCCCATACAGAAGTCAGAATGGGTTCACCAGACACCTTTGGAGAAGTCTGATTGGGGGCCCCCCAGCCCCTTTTGCACAGAAACTGGGGCCCCCAGCCTCTCTTGCATTAGTCAGAAAGGGGTCTTCAGCCTCCTATATGGAAGTCAGCTTGGGGTCACCCTTGTACAAGTCAAACTGGGGTCCCCCAGCTTCCTTCCCAGTTATTAGAATGGGGTTACACAACTCTCTTGTAAAGCCAGTGGGGGGGGGGGGTTCTCTTGCATGAGTCATATTGGGGTCACCAGTCACCCTTACAGAAATCAAACTGGAGCCCAAAGCCTCTTCTACATCAGTTACTGGGGTCACCCTTGCAGCAGTCAGAATGGGGTCACCAGCTTCCTATAGAGAAGTCAGTGGGGCCCCCAGCCTCTTGTAGAATCAGATTGGGCTCCCAGCCTGCTTTGCATTAGTTACTGGGGTCACCCTTCTGGAAGTCAGATTGGGGTCACCAGGTTCCTATGCATAAATCACATTGGGGTTCCCCCACCTCCAGGCAGCACACAGGTAGTGGGGGTCCCTCTCCAACAGGCAGCACACATTGGGGGCTCCCTCCAACAGGCAGCACACAGGTAGTGGGGGTCCCCCTCCAACAGGCAGCACACAGGTAGTGGGGGTCCCCCTCCAACAGGCAGCACACAGGTAGTGGGGGTCCCCCTCCAACAGGCAGCACACAGGTAGTGGGGGTCCCCCTCCAACAGGCAGCACACAGGTAGTGGGGGTCCCCCTCCAACACAGCACACAGGGTAGTGGGGGTCCCCCTCTTCAAAGCAGCACACAGGTAGTGGGGGTCCCCCTCTTCAGGCAGCACACATTGGGGTCCCCCTCCCCAGGCAGCACACATTGGGGTTCCCCTCCAGGCAGCACACATTGGGGTCCCCCTCCAGGCACACATTGGGGTCCCCCTCCAGGCAGCACACATTGGGGTTCCCCTCCAGGCAGCACACATTGGGGTTCCCCCCTCCAGGCAGCACACAGGTAGGAGGGTCCCCTCTTCAAAGCAGCACACATTGGGGTCCCCCTCCTCCAGGCAGCACACAAGTAGGGGGGTCCCCCTCCTCCAGGCAGCACACATTGGGGTCCCCCTCCTCCAGGCAGCACACACCGACTCCGGTCCCGCTGCTTACTTTCCCCGGCTCTGCTCCCCGGTCAGCTCCTCCAGTGTCATATTGCAGTTGTCGGCAGCGGTGCTCGGAGCTCTTCTCTCTCTCAGCTCTCCCGATATTCTGACTCACCCGCGGCGCGTACCGGCTTCTAGAGAACAACCATCTCATTAGCATACCGCTGCTTATTGGTAAGCCCAAACGGCATCCCCGCCTCCTCCCCCCGCCTCCATACTACAACCTCGTGAGCAGAGGCCGATTGGCCCGGGTGCGGGATGAGGGGCGGCGCTTCTGTGGGCAGACGGTTGCCAGGCGATGGAGTGGGGAGATTGGCGCTGTAACCCGTTCGCTGCTGCAGCCGGTCACCGGGCGCTGATATCATCCCACCTCCTGTAATGTCTTCCCTTCCCGGTCACCTCACATCTGCTCACACATCATTTCCAATACGAGGCGGACCGACCTCATCAGCACATTGTGAAAGGCTCGGGGCTCCTTCTAGAATTGCATTGTTATTGTTAGCTGCAGCCTGGGAGTCCTGGAGACCCTCAGGGCTGTGCCATGGCAATGGCCTCTCAGCAACCAATCACAGGGTGGCATTCTGCAGCTTCGTGTGTCACCGGCCAGACTGAGGACAGCTGGATCCTGATTGGCTGCTGTGTGGGGTGCTCAGTGCTCATTGGACCTTGCACTTGTAAAATAAAAGGTCACAAAGGTTAAACAGTCCTGACCCCCCCCCCCCCCATGTCTGGGTTTAGGGGTCTGCAAAATGAGACTAAGGGCCGGTTGTGGCCCTTTGCTTGCTTTTATCCGCCCTTGGGGCTCTTTTCCTTCCACTGGTATGAAGTACTATACCTCCCCCTACCACCACGATGGGGCCCTATCCCTGCCACTGACACCAACGATGGGACCCTATCCCTGCCCTACCACCAATGATGGGGCCCTATTCCTCCCACTGACACCAATTATGGGGCCCTATTCCTCCCACTGACACCAATGATGGGGCACTATCCCTCCCACTGACACCAACGATGGGGCACTATTCCTCCCACTGACACCAATGATGGGGCCCTATTCCTCCCACTGAGACCAATGATGGGGCCCTATTCTTCCCACTGATACCAATGATGGGGCACTATCCTCCCTCTGACACCAACGATGGGGCACTATTCCTCCCTCTGACACCAATGATGGGGCCCTACTCCTCCTCCTGACACCAATCATGGGGCCCTATTCCTCCTGACACCAATGATGGGGCCTATTCCTCCCTACTGACACCAATGATGGGGCACTATTCCTCCCACTGACACCAATGATGGGGCACTATTCCTCCCACTGACACCCAATGATGGGGCACTATTCCTCCCACTGACACCAATGATGGGGCACTATTCCTCCCACTGACACCAATGATGGGGCCTATTCCTCCCCTGAGACCAATGATGGGGCACTATTCCTCCCACTGACACCAATGATGGGGAGCTATTCCTCCCACTGACACCAATGATGGGGCCCTATTCCTCCTCACTGACACCAATGATGGGGCGCTACTCCCCCCCACTGACACCAATCATGGGGCCCTATTCCTCCCCCTACCACCAACAATGGGGCCCTATCCCTGCCACTGACACCAATGATGGGGCACTATTCCTCCCACTGACACCAATGATGGGCGCTATTCCTACCTACCACAATGACACCAACCATGATGGGGAGCTATTCCTGATGGGGCGCTATTCCCCCACTGACACCAATGATGGGGCGCTATTCCTCCCACTGACACCAATGATGGGCTATTCCTCCCCCTGAGCTATTTCCTCCTCTGACACCACTGACACCCCCCCCTGACACCAATGATGGGCCCTGCTATTCCTCCCCCTGACACCAACGATGAGGCCCTATTCCTCCCCGACACTAGGCACCACCAATCCCTCTGACACCAACGATGGGGCCCTAATTCCTCTCCTGACACCAATCCATGGGGCCCTATTCCCCCCCTGACACAATGATGGTGCCCTATTCCTCCCCGACACCAATGATGAGGGCCCATTCCTGCCACTGACACCAACGATGGGGCGCTATTTCTTCCCACTGACACCAACGATGGGGCACTATTCCCCTGATTGACACCAACGATGGGGCACTACTTCTTCCACTGATAACAATGATGCGGGCACTATTCCTCCCACTGACACCAATGATGGGGCACTATTCCTCCCAGTGATACCAATGATGGGGAACTATTCCTCCCACTGACACCAATGATGGGGAACTATTTCTTCCACTGACACCAACGATGGGGCATTATTTTTCCCACTGACACTAACAAGCCTAGGGTATTGTTTACTCCCACCAATGTCAGGGCATTTTCTGCTCCCATTGGCCACAATCCGGCCCCGAAAGTTTGAAGGGCAGTAAACTGGCCATTTGTTTCAAGTTTTGGAGACCCTTGATCTAGAGGCTTCAACATGTCATGAGTTTTCACAAAGTCATTGTTAGGGCTCATTTACACAGGCAGCTGGGTGGGGCGCAGTAAAAGAACCGCAGTTTTTACCGCCCACCTAAAGAATGGCGTGCATAAGCTTCCAATCAAAGCACTGAACCTGCAGCAAATATTAAACTGCTTTTGCATTTGGCGGGGGAAGCGACCCATTTCAGTGTATGGGACCGTGCAGGGCATGGTGGTTTCAGTCTTCTTAGGGTTAAAGCAGGTGCTTCCTTCTCTGCCTGTCAAACTCCCTCTGAAAAGTGATCCACCGCTATGTGCTAGGCTGCTGCATGCAAGAATGAGCCCCCAGGGTACACCAGGTGCGGGGGACTGTGTTGGTGGTCCTGACGAAGGTGTTCTCTGGGCTGGTTTTACAGGGCGTCACATGGGTGTGTGCTGAAAAAATGTCCTAATCCAGTGCAGTCCTGCTGTATCCACCGCGAAGGTGAAATTCCTTTTCCATTCCATCCATCGCCATGGCCATGGCCAATACAGCGCCGCGTCACATGGGTGTGTGTGCTGAAAAAAAAATGTCCTGCGTGCACAGTGCGACGCACCGCCATCCACCGACCATTCCATCCTTCGCCAATCCATCCACCGACATTCCATCCACCGCCATTCCATCCACCGCCATTCCATCCTCCGCCAATCCATCCACCGCCATTCCATCCACCGCCATTCCATCCACCGCCATTCCATCCACTGCCAATCCATCCACCGCCATTCCATCCACCGCCATTCCATCCACTGCCAATCCATCCACTGCCATTCCATCCACTGCCATTCCATCCTCCCGCCATTCCATCCACCGCCATTCCATCCACTGCCATTCCATCCACTGCCATTCCATCCTCCGCCATTCCATCCACCGCCATTCCATCCTCCGCCAATCCATCCACTGCCATTCCATCCACCACCATTCCATCGCTACACAAGTGCTGGGGGTGCAGAATTACAGTATTTTAGGCACACAAGGTCCTTCCATGAATTTATTGTTCACACTATTGTTGTGCTCTGAAGAGAAGTCCCCTGTACACCGGGACCGTGGGACACAGCCTCTGCACACCGTGACTGCCATGGGACAAGGCCCCTGTACACCAGGACCAACACAGGACAAAGCCCCTGTACACTGGGACCTACACGGGACAAAGCCCCTGTAAACCGGGACCTCCACAGGACAAAGCCCCTGTAAACCAGGACCACCGCAGGACAAAGCCCCTGTACACAACTCCACAGGACAAAGCCCCTGTACACCGGGATCACCACCGGGACAAAGCCCCTGTACACCGAGACTCCACAGGGACAAAGCCCCTGTACACCAGGACCACTACGGAACAAAGCTCCTCACCATGGGACAAAGCTCCTGTACACCGGAACCTCCACGGGACAAAGCCCCTGTACACCGGACCACGGGACAAAGCCCTGTACACACCACGGGACAAAGCCTCTGTACACCGGGGGGACAAAGCTCTGTACACTGGGAACACCACGGGACAAAGCCCCTGTACACCGGGACCACGGGGACAAAGCCTCTGTACACCGGGACCACCACGGGACAAAGCCCCTGTACACCAGGACTGCCATTGGACAAAGTCCCTATACACCAGGACCTCGACGGGACAAAGCCCCTGTACACTGGGCCCTCCACGGGACAAAGCTCCTGTACACCGGGACCTCCATGGGGCAAAGCCCCTCTACACCGTGACCTCCACGGGACAAAGCCCCTCTACACCCAGGACCACCATGGGACAAAAGTAGTGCATGGACTTCTTCAGAAACGACCGCTGTAATGGCGGAAAATAGTGTGCCTTGGCATGCGATTTGCAAGTCGCATGGTATGCAAAACGCATGCCAATCCGCATCGTGTGACCGGGGACCATATGGTGCGCATACTTCCCGTTCCCCGACACCTCATGTGGAATTAATTTCCATCTCTTATGCTCCTTGCGCACAGGTCACCTATCCGCTGTGCGTCCAGTCCTGACCATGAAGGTGCGGCGTCCAGGGACTCATGTCTGTAAATGTACAGGACCCTAGACAACAACCCCTCAGGACAGTCAGTCACAGCATATACAGGCTGCAGGCCGGGCGCAATAAAACGCCAGGATTGGGCGCAACGCGTATCGCTTTACGGTCACATATGCCACAAGACGGTTATGGTTGCGCAGCCCTGGAACAAGCGCACAGACTGGGAAGTCAGAACTCCCAGTCTGCATACTCATTTCCCTCAGAGGGTTCAGCGTGAGAGCCAGGCAACCAGCATTTCCTCAGGCATGTCAGTGTGTGTGTGTGCTGTATGTGACCAGAGACCATTCCGCAGCCTGGGACTGGCCCTGGATATTAGGGACTGCTAGTTATCATTCACTCTGCAGCACTTGGCTGTTCTTTACTTGTCCCATTATGTACCCTGCCACTGCGGTGTTAGCACCCTGAGGACATGCTGGGACTAGTGTCAGCCACTTTATTCACAATTAGGCTCCGGTTCACACTTTGACCTCAGCACCATCCCGCACTGAGGAGGACAAGCGCGGGCAAAGCACAGCCGGGTGACGTCAGCCCACGGGAGGGGGCGGTTCCCTTTAGCCCGGCTGTTGCCAAGGTGAGCGGGCTGACTGGAAGCCGCGTGGATC